CCAGGTACCCAACCCATTTCGGTTGCTCCTTACCGCATGAGCCGCATTGAGATGGAAGAGCTGAGGAAACAGATCACTCAATTGGAAGCCAGTGATTTTATTAGACATAGTGTGTCCCTTTGGGGTACCGGAGTCACTTTTGCAAGGAAGGGAGATGGAACATTGAGACTGTGCATTGATTACAGAGGATTGAACAAGGTTACGATCAAGAACAAGTATCTCCTTCCTCGGATTGATGACCTCTTCGATCAGTTGTAGGGTGCACAAGTCTTCTCTAAAATATACCTGCGATCAGGTTACCATCAGGTGAAGATAAGAACAGAAGACATCCCCAAGACGGCCTTCCGAACTAGGTACGGACACTATGAGTTCCTGGTCATGCGATTTGGGCTAACCAATGCCCCGGCAATCTTTATGGATCTGATGAACAGGGTCTTCAGAGAGTTCTTGGATCAATTTGTTATCGTGTTCATTGATAACATCTTAGTCTACTCAAAAAGCAGAGAAGAACATGCTCACCATCTTGCCCAAGTTTTGCAGGTCCTCAGAAACAAGAAGTTATATGCAAAGTTGAGTAAGTGTGGATTCTGCCTTGAGCAGACTGCCTTCCTAGGACACATCATATCGAAGGAAGGGGTATCGCTGAATCCCGAAAAGGTTGAAGTAGTACTTGGCTGGGAGAAGCTGACATCAGTTAAAAAAATTCGTAGCTTCTTGGGGATGGCAGGTTATTATCGCAGGTTCGTTGAATAATTCTCTAGTCTAGCAACTCCTCTAACCCAACTCACAAAGAAGAATGTCAAGTTTGAGTGGAATGAGGACTGCGAAATAAGTTTTTCAGAATTAAAGAAGCGTCTGACTACTGCACCCCTGCTGGCTTTACCGAGTGGATCAGGAGGATATATAGTTTATAATGATGCCTCCTATCTAGGCTTGGGTTGTGTTCTGATGCAGCATGGAAAGGTTATAGCATATGGGTCCAGACAGTTAAAGAATCATGAGAAGAACTATCCCACCCATGACTTAGAGCTTGCTGCAATCATACACGCCTTAAAAAACTGGCACCATTATTTGTACAGAGAGACCTTTCATATCTATACCGATCATAAGAGTTTAAAATACATATTCACTCAGAAGGATCTCAACATGCGTCAGAGAAGATGGATGTAACTCCTCAAGGACTATGATTGTGATATCTTATACCATCCGGGTAAGGGCAACGTGGTAGCAGATGCTCTCAGCAGGAAAAGTGCAGGTATCTTAGCTCATTTAATGGTTTCAGAATGCAGGTCAATTGGGGCCACGCAACAGGTTCGGCTTCAGGATCTAAAGAGAGTCACATGTTTGGGCCGCCTGACAGTACAGCCCGAGTTAATCCAGAGAATAAGGAAAGCCCAGTCAGTCGACCCCGCCCTGGTAGCCCGCAAGAAGGATGCAGAACAGGAAGTGAACTTAGAATTCCAAATCTCTGCTGATGGATTGCTTCGTTTCAAAGACAGGATGTGTGTCCCAGATGACAGTGAGTTAAAAAGAGACATCATGACAGAGTCCCATAGCTCGAAGTTTGCCATGCATCCAGAAAGCACCAAAATGTACCAAAGCATGCGACCCCAGTTTTGGTGGAATGGGATGAAGAGAGACATAGCCGACTTTGTATCTAAATGCTTGGTATGTCAGCAGGTCAAGGCAGAACATCAGCGCCCAGGTGGGTTACTTCAGCCTTTACCGATCCCGGAGTGGAAGTGGGAACATATCACCATGGACTTCGTATCGGAGCTACCCAAGGCACGTTCAGGACATGATGCCATATGGATAATTGTTGACCGACTTACCAAGTCTTCCCACTTCCTAGCCATCAGGATGACCGATTCCTTGGACAAGTTGGCAAGGATGTATATCCGAGAGATAGTCAGATTGCATGGAGGTGACAGTAGTATCTGACAGGGATCCCAGGTTCACTTCTCGGTTTTGGAGTAGTTTTCAGCAAGTTATGGGAACAAAGTCGTCTCTTAGTACTGCCTTCCATCCCCAGACTGATGGACAATTAGAAAGGACAATTCGTACACTTGAAGATATGCTTCGAGCTTGTGTCCTAGACTCTGGGGGCCATTGGGACGACCATCTACCCCTAATAGAGTTTGCCTACAACAACAGCTACCAAGCAAGCATCGGCATGGCTCCATATGAGGCATTATATGGGCGCCCGTGCAGATCACCGATTTGTTGTGAGGAAGTGGACGATAGAAGATTGTTCGGCCCGGAGTTGGTAGAAGAGACCACGTCCAAAATAATTAAAATTAGAAAGAACATTCAAACAGTTCAGAGTAGGCAGAAGAGTTATACAGATACCCGGATGAGAGACCTAGCATTTGAGAAAGGCGACCGGGTGTTTCATAAGGTCACTCATTTCAAGGGAATTAGTAGGTTCGGCAGGAGGAGAAAATTAAACCCCCGATATATTGGACCCTTTGAAATTTTAGACAGGATTGGTACTGCTGCCTATAGACTAGCACTGCCTCTAGAGCTCTCCAGAGTCCACAACGTGTTCCACGTATCCATGCTATGTAAGTACAACCCGGACCCTTCTCATGTCTTGGCTCATGAACCGCTTCCACTCCAAGAGGACTTGTCTTATGAAGAAGTACCAGTCGGTATCACAGACCGAAAGAACAGGATACTCTGCAACCGGAAAATATCATTTGTAAAGGTCATGTGGAAGAACCACACGCCCAGGGAGGCTACCTGTGAGCTAGAATCATATTTTAGAGTCCAGTATCCCCATTTGTTCGACCAAGAGTGAGAGACAAATTTGGGGGACCAAATTTCCTTAAGATGGGGAGAATTGTAACACCCAAATAATTTTTTTAATATTATTTTATTTTTTATTTTTTA